TTAACAAAGAGAACATTCTTCTCTCTCTCTGTGCATCTTTAGTTGTAATTCAGTTCATTCTGTCTGCTGGGTTAAGTTACTGTTGTGTTTTTTTGTTTGTTCATTTTCCTTTTTATTTCAGCATATTATAGGGGTACAGATGTTTAGGTTATGTATATTGCCCTTGTCCCACCTGAGTCTGAGCTTCAAGGGTGTCCATCCCTCAGATGGTGCACACTGCACTCATTATGTGTGTATATGCCCATCCCCTCCTCCCCTTCCCATAGGCCCACACCCGATGAATGTTATTGCTATACGTGCACTTCAGTGTTGATCAGTTAAAACCAATTTGCTGGTGAGTACATGTGGTGCTTATTTTCCATTCTTGAGATACATCACTTAGTAGAATGGGCTCCAGCTCTATCCAGGATCATACAAGAGGTGCTAGATCACCATTGTTTTTTGTGGCTGAACTCCATGTGTTTTAAAGCTCCTCATCGTCCTTGATGAAGGAAATGGATTTCAGTTTGGGTAGAACAACCCTGATCCCTCCTGGATGCTAAGGAACCCCTGGTTGGAGCTCTGATGTTAGGGCTGGAGTTCCCTCTTCCTGCTGCTGAGGTGAGAGCCTCCTGGCCAGGCCTGCGCTGCCGTAGAGACTGGGGCCCCTGGCTCCACAGACCTGCTTGTGACCCCCAACACTTCCCTGCCTCCTCGCCCAGTGACCTCTACTTCTCTGTCATAAGTAGCCTCTCAAAAGACTTGGCGGATGCTGCGTCTATAGAGTTCACCCAGAATATGGAGAAGGTGTCACCTGGTTTTCTGTGGTTCTTGGAGGAATGTGAACCTGTGGTCTTGAGAAAGTGCCGAGCCTCCTGACACTTTCAAAGGCCTTGGTGATTTGGCTCCAGCCTTCCCAAGACCTTTCCACACATTGTCCCACCCCAAGATGAGATGCCATCAGGCCTTTGGGACGGAAGTGCACGTTCTCAGCCGCGCGGCATCTTTGGAGGCCATGTAGAGCCCACTTTTGAGTGTGACTTTGCGTACCCCACCAGCGACCGGGCCCCCGCTGCAAGTTGGAAGAACAGGCAGGTGCTGAGGGCATCTTCCCACGCAGGGCTTTGACCACGGCCCTGGAGCCAGGAGCCCCTCCCCGGCTGGGAAGGAGGCAGGCCCACCTCCGGGGGCTTCCTCTGGGGGAAAGAGCCTGAGAGGATTTCCAAGCAAGCCCCAGGCTTCACCTTGGCGCCGTCTTACCTAAGGTTCAGAAAGCAGTGGGGCTGGTGCAGTTCGTGCGCACAGTGCTCTCTGCCGCCTCTGGGGGACAGACAGGAGGAGGTCGGGACTGAGGGGAGAGCAGGACGGAGGGAGAGGGAGAAAGAAGGAAGGGGAGGTGTGCCCATGGGCTCTGGTCTCATAAGAACCTCACTAGGAGGCCTAGGAACCTACCTGGCATTTCTGTCAGGTGACGACACTTTCCTGGCAGGAAAGAGGGAGGCACAGCTGCCTGCTCGGAGTGTGACCTGCATCACTTCCTGCTGGAGCCGGCTGAGCACTGAGCCATTTGCACCCGGCACTTCGTGTCTGCAAACCAAGAATGAAGCCGGGCTGAGCATTTCCGGGTGCCCCAGGGGGACAGGGGACTCGCTGAAACTGCCCAGGGTGCGTCGCTGCAGGCTCCCCAGCTGCGAGGGGGTGGGCGGTCCTCAGCCAGGAGGGGCTGGTGTCCTGGGGCGAGTCCGGCTGTCCTGTCATGTCTGTCCTGAAGGAGAGGACAGACACAGCTTTACTGAGAAATTCACCTGTCAGGGTTGGTGTCATTGTGAAGTCAAAGTCTGCCGTGGTTGCTGAGTGGACCACATTCTACTATAAGTATTAATATAAGTTGTTTACGTAGAGTTTACGATACTACATTTTTACACTATATATAGTATGAGGTATATAGTACTATATATTACACTATGCTATATTACTTACAGCAGTAGTTTTCACTACTTTCTACCACACTTGTTCTACTACATAGATGGCTCTGAGTAGGGCCCAGTGGGACCCCGCGCCTCGGGGTTTCACACTCGACACTCAGGACACAGTTGTGGAAGTTGGCGTCGAGGGGCCTGGGTGAGTGCTGCACCCGGAGGAGAGCTGTGAGCTCGGGGGCTGAGCGAGGGAGTCGGGTGCCCGCCTGCTCCCCAGACGAGGGGACTTGACCTGGGCTGGCGAGGAAGGGCTGCACTTTGAACCATGGAACAGGCGGGCTTGGGGGCACTCTGGGGCCTGGGAAGGTTTGGGGAGAAGGCGAAGGCAGGAGGGTACAGGCCAAAGCAGCAGCAAGGGCCGGGGTGGGATTCTGTCTGCAACGTGGCAATACCCTTGTTGAATTAAACCTGGCTCCAGTGGAGGAGCCCTGCTCATGGGTGAGGAAAGATGCCATGGCAAAGAAAACTCAGGAATGAAAGAGCTCAAGTCAAAGTCACTCTGCTGGGCTGAGTGTCAGCCCAAGAGCATCGGAGAGCAGATGCATGTCTTGGAGTGATGAAGGCGTTTCTTCATGAATGAAACCCACAGAGATTTTGAATTCATTGTCCTTTCTTTGGATTCTTTTTCATCAGTGAGTTAACGTGTGGCAGAGAAAGCATTAGGTCTTCTCCAGCGGCCGGTAGAGGAGGTGGCGACTGATTCTCCCCAGGCTCTGGGGAGCAGTGATCCTGCAGGAGGCTCTGCAGCCTGGGCCTGAGCAGCAGCAGCACATCCTGACTGCCAGGGGACGGCCTCGGGCCTCCCAGAGCCTGCCCAGCTCAGAGACCAGCCCACAGGTCATATTCCTCTCTTCTTCCAGTGGGGGGTGTGTGTGTGTGTGTGTGTGTGTGTGTGTGTGTGTGTGTGCTTGCATGAGTGTGTGCTTGCATGAGTGTGTGCATGCCTGCATGACCATGCGCATGCATGCTTGTGCCTGTGTTTGCAAGTTCATTCTGGACGGCCACCACCTTCCCTCCATCTCTGCTGTGTTCTGGGCTGTCCATCCCAAGGCAGTTGCCCATATTGCCCCAGGTAGAGCAGCCGTGGATTCAGAGTGGAAGGATCCCGTCCCCTCCCCAGCGCTCTCACATCCACTCTCCTGCATCTCAGAACTGGTATTTGAGGGATGAAGCTTGAAGCCCACGAGCTCAATGCTTTGGAAGTCAGACTCAGACCAGGAGGTGGCCAATCCCTTTCTTCCTGGATGTGGCAGCTGAGAATCCCTGGAAACAGATGTGCTGGGAAGTCCTGGAGGAGACTGGGGTGGGAGCTGGGGGGTAGGGTCCTGGAGCTCTGGACACTGAGTGGTTCTGGATCCGCGTGAGGGTGACATGCACCTGCCTCTAACTGCTTCCTCTCACTTCCCCTGGGGCAACTCACATCTCACAACCTGGGTATTGGACACCAGGGGCCTCCTCGGGCCTTGGAGAGTCAACACTGGTGTGTGTGCACCTACCACACCCAAGGCCACCTTCCTAGAGAAATATACATTTTTTTGTAACTCTTTAAAATGTGATGACCTGTCAAATATGCTACATACTGACATGACTAGTCTGGTCAACACTGGGGGTGGGGCCTGGCTTCCAGGATCTTTTATTCTAGTCGGTGAGAAAGACTTGAAAGAAGTGAAAACAAACTTATAATTAGGAATTGTGGCGCCTGCTCTGAAGGAAGCAGCAGGGTGCTGTGAGAGTCACTGCAGACCTCGCTTAAGGATCGCTGGGTGCCGTGATGTGGGCAGGCGGTAGGAAGTGGACTCCCTGGGTGTGGATTTCGTTCATTCATTCAATCAGCATTCAACAAGTATTTCTGAGCACCCACTCATCCAGGTGCTGAGCAACACACAGTGAACTCAATGTGGAGAACTCCACATCCCTAAAGAGCTCACATTTCAGTAGACAAAACACACAAATAACTGTTAACACACAGCAACAGGGATGAGCACTGTGGAGGGAGATGGCACGGGGAGTGGGGAGTGGGCGTGAGGGCCGCCACCTTACCCAGGGTCATTGGAGTGGGCATCTCTGCAAAGGCACCAAGTGAGACCAGACCAGATGAGCATGGTAGCAAGCCCTGCAGGTGCAGGGGGAAGAGTCTTCTAGGCAAGTGCAAAGGCCCTGAGGCAGGAACATGCTCAGTTGTGTTGGAGTGGCCAGATCCCAGGGCACAAGGGACAGTGGGAGAGGGTGGGATGGGAGAGGGGCTGACCTAGGATCCAGGACCTGGCAGTGCCCAAGTGAGAGGTGGGGTCCCCAGGGCATGGAGCACAGCAGTGGGGTGCTGTGGCTGTGTGTTCCCAGGGGCACTCAGGCTGCCTGTGGGGACGCCCGTAGGGGGCCAGGCTGGAGTCCACTGAGGCTGAAATTTGTGGAGCTTGTGCTGGGAATTGTGAGGGGAAGGGGCATGTACTTTCTCCTCCACCCACCCTTCCTGCCTCCAGTCTTGGGCTCCAGGCTGGGAGAGGAGAACTGGGGTCCCCTCTAGGTGTCTCACTGTAGACTCAAGGACTGCAGAGCCTGAGCTGCGTGGGGAGTGACAAGCTCAGGGCCTCAAGCCCATGAATGGGGACAGCCTGTGTGGGGTGGAGGAAGCAGCCTGCCGTTAGGGCAGAAATCCTGGCCTGGCACCACTGGGCAAAAGGCTCACCCTCTCTGAACCCAGTTCTCCATGGTAAAATGTGGGTCCTGCCACTTGCCTTTTTCAACAGGTTTCTCGTTGAGCAAATGCTATGAATGCAAGAGCGCTTCAGACATTTTAAGAGCGGTAGGAATCTAAATGGAAATGTAAATCTAAGTTTTTATTCTCATTTTTAGTCTTAGCTCTCTCAGACTTCCAGATTTGATAAGATTGGAAACTTTCTTCTTAGATATTTCTGTATCAAAGGAAAACACTTTCCCCCTAAATTTGATTTTTTTTTAAAATGGGGGGAATAATTTTAGATTTACAGAAAAGTTACAAAGATGGTACAGAGAATGCCCGTATGGTTTTTACTTAATCCCTCCTAATGTTACTATTTTGGATAATTGTAGTACGTTGGTCAAAACTAAGAGATTGACTTGGGCACATTGCCATGAACTGAACTTTATTTGGATTTCATCAGTTTTTCCATTAATATCTCTTTTTGGTTTGAGGATTTAATCCAGGATCCCAGGCTGTATTTAGAAGCTGTTCTTTCAATGTGGCAGGTGGGGCTGGGAGAGAGGCCGGCTGACTGATAGGCTGACGATGACTGTAAGGGCTCCAGGCAGAAGCAGATGCTCAGCTCCTGTTTTCAGACTGCACTGGGGATGAGATTTAAAGGGAAAAAACCTCCAAGTTTTAATGTCGGTAAGATATATTCAGGTTAGATAATTTTTTAAAAAATGCATTTTAAATAAGGGCTGACCGAGGCCCTGGGGGAAATTATCAAGGCAGGTGATGAAGGAGGTTGCTCCGTAGGAGAACATCCATATAAGATGGAAAGTAATTTCTCTAGAGGTGGGAGCGGAGACAAATAACCACCAGCTGCCCACATCTGGGCTGCGGATTCCAGAAGCAGAAGAAGCAGGCTAACAGGACATGCAAAATAATTTAGTGTTTTGCAATGCAAAGCTTATTTCAATTCATTTTATGTAAGGAAAGTCTGCACACTGCCTATTCAAAAGAAATTATTTGGACTCAACTTGGAGACAAAAAAATGCAGGTCGAAATTGGGTTTTGCAAAAGTACATCTCTGACCTCTGGTTCTTTTGGGGATGAGGAAGGACCACCTGCTCACCAAGGTGGCCTCACCTTGTCCCAACAGGCTTGGTCCCAGCACAACAGGGGCTTCCAGCTCCTCACCCGTATTAATCCTCTCCCTCCTGGCGAATAATCCTTTCCTAGGAGCTGAGCTGCAGGACAGAAGCTCATAATAAACGTTTCCGAAGTATTTTATGGAAACTATCAGCCCTCTGACCATTAGGAATCAAGGACCCTCCTCATAACTGTCATATGTCTGCACCTCAGGACCCTCTCCCAAGATCCAGGTGGGTCCCAGTGGATGGCTTCCAGAGGGGTTTCCCCTCTAGAGAGTGAGACAGGCCCTCACTTGTCCAGCTTCTCTCACCTGTCTGCTGCATCACAACGTGGGCAGAGGAGGCGTAGGCCACACCCCAACAGGTAGGAAGGGCAGAGTTGAGTCTGTAGCAGAGGCAGTGTGCTCACAGGGACAGCCAGCTTTGGAGTGCGGGGGGCCGGGGACTGGAAGAAGGCACTGTGTGGCAGGTTCTCACTCCCAGCAAGGAGTGGGCTGTAGATCCCACTGTGGAATCCACATTTTTTTTTTCACAGGAGGTGCAATTTACTTATTATCAAATAGTTCATTTAAGAGATTTCAGTAAAGAGTGTAAGATGAATTGAAGGAGATATTGGAGATGACACTCAGGAATTGAACAGAGAGAAGTTACCCAGATGACCTGTAAGATATCTTATAACCCTCAGATTCTACGACTATATGATTTTTATCTGAAATGACATGAGCTGTATTTAGAAGGTGATTCACACTTTGGGTGTCTCAGGTTCAGCTCTGCTCTAAATAACACTGGGTATGAATAAGGAAAAATCTGTACTATTAAAGCACCCAAGTGTCACGAGTCCATCGCTCTGCTCCCAGGAAGCAGGAGAAATACCGCTCGTTGACTCATATCATTACAGACAATTAATTGTTCCCATGATCCCATCTGGTGGTTTCATTCTTTGCTCTGCAGCGGAATCACTTATGAACCTTTGTTAAATGCAGATACCGTTATTCACCCCTAGAGAAGACTGGGTCAAAATTGGGTGGAAATCTCTCAGGTTGAGTCCAAAGATGTGATTTTATAAATCCCTACAGGAGATCCCACTGCCCCAAGATGGGGATCTGCTTTTGTCATCTGAATCCCACATGCTGCAATGTCACACTACGATGTCCCCCAGGGCTGCAGCCATAATTCTCTGCAGCTGATCCTATGTCTCTGCCTCCTGCAGCCCACTCACTTCCAATGCCGTGGAGCAGGCAAATCAAGGCCAAGGCCTGGTGCCCGAAAGGGACTGAGTGGCGCATGAGGTGGTCAGTGGGGCTGCTGTGGCCCTGTGTGTCAGCGACGAAGGGGCTCAGGGCAGGGCGGCGGGCGGAGCAGGAACAGGGAGTCCAGGGCTAGCTCCACTGTGGGTCTCTGCTTGGTTGCATTTAACTGCGTCTGGAAAAATGCGTGTGTGGACTCAGAGCAAGTTTGCACTGAACTGCACATTTGGCATAGCTGATGCTATATTGTTTTTTAAATTGATGGACAAGGAAGGCCACTGTTTCAAGAAGGAAACTCTCTCCTGACTTCAGAGATTGTGTGCTGAGATGGGCGGTGTCCTGTCTGTGGAGTTCAGGGGTGGCTGCAATCAATGTGTTATTTCTGGCTTAAACCCTCACGGAGCAGAAAGCCACTTTCACTCACGCCGATGAAGACGGAGAGGCAGTAGAGTTCACTGGAGATGCGGCGGAAAGAGCCTGGCGCACCAGTTCTGGAGAGCTGTAGTCCACAGTTGAAGGCTTCCTTGAAAAGACCAGAGGAAATTGGTCCTGAAGGCTGTCTGGGAGTCAAGTTATTCCAATGTAAGCTCTACATATGTTCCAGAGACTTCTGACTCTAAGAAGGGATGGTGTGAATTCTGCACTTTGCTCTAATAAGGAAACTAAATTCTGATTTTAACAGTTCATAAGAGGAATTATCTTACTGGACCTAGGATTTTGTATTTCTTTCCAGTTTGTGACACCTCATTCTTCTTAAAATGTGTCTCTAAAGAACTGATGTTATTCTACGTTTTATCAATAGTTATTGTAGGAAAGCCGTGCTTCACACTTATGTTCTATTTCCATAGCCTGCGACCTGGCATTAGCGACCACATTTTGAAACTGCTCCTGTTCACCTGGTGGCCTCCACACAGGCTGCAGGCTTGTCACCTGTGAGGGCGTCCATGGCCCTGGGTGCTGCCTCCCCCAGCCCAGCTCAGCGGAGGATCACAGGCGCAGAGGTGCCTGGGCTTTCATTGCCCACCCCCAGGGGCTGTTCCTGCACGCCACGGTGGGACCACATCCCCTGGGTCGTGCCTGTACAGCTCGCACAACTGTGGGTGTGCACAGTGGTGCTGGGACCTCCTGGGGGTGGGGGCTGCAGGAGCCAGGGAGGACCCCAGGCCTACTCAGGAGGCAGAGTACTGACTTAAAAGGGAGTTCTGAAGAGGTAGCTTCAGATCCTAGGGATCAGGGGTGTGTGTAGAAAGACGAATCTGGGAGCAGAAGTCCTGATAAAATGTCCCAGGCTGGGTCTCTGATTTCAGAGAATAACAGCTGCAGCCCGGGGCAGCCTCTTCTTCTCCCCACCATCCCCACCCAGGCTGGCGGCCAGGGCATGGAGGTGGGCACAGGGCAGTCCTGGCCAGGGGGCTGGACCCAGGGTCAGGGCAGTCTCTGAGCTGTCCCTACAGGCCCTGGGAGGTGGGGAGGAGGGAGAAGGAGAGGTCAGCAGCCCTGGACAAGGAAACGGGGTCAGGCTGTGCTGTAGTCAGTTTGTGCTGCTGTAACAGAGCACCACAGTCTGGGTGGCTTAAACAGCAGACTTGTATTTCTTACAGTTCTGGAAGTCGGGAAGCCCAAGCCCAGGGCGCTGGCGTATTCAGTGTCTGGCGAGGACCTGCTCTGATTTGCAGACATCGTCTTCTCCATGTGACTTCACATGCAGAGTAGACAGAGAGAGAACTCTGTGCTCCTTTTATAAGGGCATTAATCCCATTCATGGGGGCTCCACCCTCATGGCCTAATCACCCCCAGAGGCCACCCCTCCTAGCACCATCATATTGGGGGTTAGGATTGCAACATCAGAATTTGGGGGGGACACACACGTTCAGTCCATAGCAGGCATCATTGCAATGCTTGGGAAACCAAGGTTCAGAGAGGCTGGGGTTTGCCCTGGCCACAGACGGGCCCGGGATCCAGGCTCCAGCCCTCCCACGGCTCCGTTTCCCCGCAGCCTGCAGCCCTCACAGGACCAGCCCCTCGCCCTTCCTGCTGCCAGCCTGGGACCACCCACGTTCTAAGTGAGTGGACAAGTCCTGGGAAATGTCCCTCCCTGACCTGTGGCTCACCCCAACAGCTGCTCAGCCTCTGAAAAGTGAGGGGCAGAGGCCCAAAAGGCCACATGGCCTCAGAAGGTGGGGTCTGGGGCCCACTTCACATTTTCATTTCTATTACTAGAGGTAGCTTGTGGTTGTATACACGTGAGAACACTGCGTTGGGAATCAGGATTGCTGAGTCTGAGTGACAGCCAAGCTCTCTGTGCTCATCTGCAAAATGGTGTCCCCACAATGAATTCATTCATTCAGTTATTCACTCACTGCATCTGTTGATGCATCTGTGTCCTAGATGCTGACAGCCTCCGCGAATGGGACAGACCGAGACTCTGGTCTCATGCTGCACACGCAGGCACGCTGGCACACACACTGGCACACACTCATGCACACTCACACACACTGGCACACACACTGGCACACACACTGGCACACACACTGGCACACACTCATGCACACTCACACACACTGGCACACACACTCACACACTGGCACACACTCATGCACACTCACACACACTGGCACACACTGGCACACACACTCACACACACTCACACACACACTGGCACACACTGGCACACACACTGGCACACACACTCACACACACTCATACACTGGCACACACTGGCACACACTCTCGTGCACACTGGCGCACACACACACACACACACAC